TTATTTATTTTTAGATCTCTCATAACCCATCTTGCAGCATAAATCAAACTCCCTAGTCCCAGTAGTGAAATGTCCGTCTCGCTGGAGACACGTGTTTAAAGCAAGTGGTCGTCAAGACCTGTCAAAACATCACAACCAATATGTTTTTGTGGTCGGAGTTGGGAACCACAGGGCGGGCACACACTTGACTTTTCCATATTTTCTGGACTCTTGCCTGTAGTGCGATGATGACGGCTTGTATGAAAAGAAGAACAATAAAACAAGAACATCCGAAGGGCTTCATTTCACCTAAATGTTCATCGCAGTGAGGAGGAGTTTGTTCCTTCAGTAGGCCTGGGACGCCTGTTGAAATATCGGCCGGTTTCAGCTTCTATAGAAATTATTTTAAATGCTGTTAACAGGCTGCTAAGGCTGCAGCCGATAAGCTGCCTGTCATTTATGGGAATTCATGAGCCATACCAAATACAAAGGAAAAGAGAATGTCAATTTACTTTAATATCTGCTTTTATTTTTGAAATGAAGTTATATTTTAATGAGCAATATTTTTATTTTTATCGTTGAACGCATGAGGCCTTCAAAATAAATCTTCAAAATATAACAATAAAAATACAATGATTATTATTGTTATTACTTTTGTTTTTATTATCATATAATAAAGGACTCCTTTGGCTAATAATCTACACTTTTTTCACTAATGAAAGCTCCAGATTTAGTAAACTTAAAACTAAGAGGCACAGTAACAAAAGCTTCTATTCAAAATGTAAAATTTGATTTGCATATAAAGGCTTTGAGGCCATTTTTGCGTTAAAAAAGGGGAAAAAAAGATAAATAATTTCTGAATATGCAGGCTTACTAAAAATAGAAAACAATGTCATTTTACATTTTTTCGTTTGAGGGTTATATTTAGCAACTATTTTAAAACTATTATCGAGAAAAAAATTGGCCAAGATTTATGTTTAAAATGCAGAAAAAATATGAATATGATTTAGGATATCCGAATAACTGAAAAGCTGTTTGCTATTAATTCATTTTATATGTTTATATTAGTGATATCGAAATACAACAAAATAATGCACAAGATGGGTTTCCTAAATTGTGACCTACTTTTGCAGACTCTCCAAACCCTCTAAAAAAGCACTCATCGAGGAAAAAAATTAAGGGACTAGAAAAGGACAAAATAAACCCAAGAAAGCCCAAATTGTGAGGTTAGTTTGTAAATTTAACTTGAGTCATCATTTTGCAAAGGAATCGGGTGAGATTCACCAGTCGCACTCCTGACACGATGCAAATTAGATGGATGTCCTGTTTGCATCGTGCATTCCCCCGACATTGCCGCTTAAATTGCAAAAACAATTATCCTGAAAATAAACGAATACTGTGAAAGAAATCTACCTATAGCCAACATCAGCAGTTTCAAACGGTTAAATAGAAGAAAAAAAAGGAAACCAGTGAGGAAGAGAGCGGAACTGATGGCACCGACACCCACTAAAAATGAAAGCCCATCTGCAAGCAGACAGACTTGTAAATATCACCTTTCTCCGAGATGCCAGAGACGCACACACTGGCCAACAGACTCACATGTGAAATACCAGGGCTTTGCACCTGGTGTGTTGCTACTGCTGAATAGGTGGAAAAAGGAAGCCCGCCCATTCACCCACCACCCATCTTTAAGTTGAGCAACAAAGGCCTGATGTCAGAGACTTTACTTTGTTGGATGGATATGATGAAACTGTCTCAGCGCACAGATTTCCGGCTGTTTAGTCATCGGGAAGCGTTTCGCTCCAAGGTCAATGAGTTACTCTCTGTTTGCTGCGTCATCCTGTTTCAAGGCCAAGTTGAAGCAATGGAAATGGGAGGGGCCTCTGAGGTTGCATTCTTCTTTTTTGTTCCCTTACAGGTTGTTTATATTAGACGCGAAATCCCCCTCAGATGGATTCGGAATCCGCATCTTCATGCCATGTTCAAACTATTTTGGTTGCTGTGCTGCAGAGACAGCAGATTTGTTTGCGCCCTCACTGCGCAGGCTCCATGGTCAAGTTCAAGTTGGGCTGTCTAGTAAAGTTGAGGGGGTGCACACGCCGCGGCGTCTGCATTGCAGGGCGCCCTATTCTTTGATGTGTCTACCCAACCCACCCCTAAAATAATCGCAGCTCAAGCCAACTGCAGGTTCTGTCTGCTGTCCATTGTTTTTTTTTTCATTTATAGGATTAACAGGATCTACTGCAAGCAAGCCTATCCAATGTCCTTCACTATCTTAAACACACACAATATAATTGACACTACTGTAAACGCGCAAGGTCATCCATCTGTTGCGCAAAAGGCTTCCAGGCGTTATCTCTGCATGATCACAAGATCCAATCTGCCCCGGCCACGACCCATTCCATAACTCAATAACCGGATGGATGTCTGCCACCTTTGGGCGCCCAACATTTATAAAAGTAGGAGCACAGGTATATGAACTCCGCCTTTAAAAAGAGAAGGTTTTCTCAGTATACAAATACATATGGCAATTGCTTCATTGGATGGAATCTAAAACGCACCTTTTCCCCACGCGTTCTAGAAAATAAATCACTTTATGCAATGTGTTAAAGTTCAAAACCACACAAACCTTCTGTCACGCTGAGTAAATTTGTTTACTGGTTAAAAGTTAAAATCAAAAACCTCTTCGATTTTAGTAAATATATGTTTTTCATGTTGAATATTTTGTTACCGACTTTTCACTCTTATAGATCAAGTAATTATGCTTTTAAATGCCCTTTACCTTTTCCAACATACCATGTTGTGTCTAATAATTACCAAAGGAAAAAAGTGCGTAATCTTTACTTACTAAGTCGATTTTTGCAAATCAAAAACCTCCATAGTCAACAGAGGTAGGTAGGGAAAGAAGTTTGTATTTTTATTTTTTTTAACTACTCTTTGCAGACCAGATGGAGAAGTTGGGGGAAGAAAAAGCCAAAGGAATTTCCCTGACTTCTAAGCCTCCGGGCTGGAGTAGGGGGAGGGGTATGCCAATGCTGCTCGCTTTTCCTTTTTCGGACAGGCGAGGGCGCACAAGGACAGCGGAGGCCGTAGGGACGCAACTGTCAGCTCCCCTTGTCTCTCTTCTGTGTGGGTGCGCGAGACCAACATGGCAGCAACTCTCTGGTGTCTGACTTTAAGACTAATCACTTCCATCCAAGAATTTTAATTTTTTTACTGCAAATCAGCATAAATTAGTTAACTCCAAACAGGTGATGAAGTTCAGCATGTCAGTGTCCTCATCTACCAATTGCCGTCAAAAGCAAACCATCCCGGCTTATGCAAAGACGCTCATCCAATGCCATATATGTACATTAAGCAGTCTTAAAATTCCCATGGGTCAGCTGGATTAATGGGACCTTTACTGCTATTTATTTTTATTTTATTTTTTTCAAAAGAGAAAAGGCCATGATTCGAAAAAAGCATATCGCAGATTTTCTTTGAATCGGTGCTTATCTTTATTTGATGGAATACTGGAATTTCATAAAACTATGTTGCTTGGAAAGCAGTAAAACAAACAAACCCATAAAGTTAGAAACAACCAAATGATCAGACAGGCAATATACCAACATTATTACACCGAAACCGAATGATCTTCAGTCACTATATATTCCTATCAAATGAAGCTTTTCATCTGGGAGAGTTTTTATTTTTTTTATTAACCACCCTGAACAATGTAACTGAAGGTTAACATATTATCTGTGTGAAACATCAGATAATATCAACAAGTCACTTCGTCGTTGAGGGACAAACTCATTTGGCTTTGCGTCCTGTCTTGACTCAGGTCAATAATATTTAGAACCAGAAATACAACTGCTATGGGATGTGTGCCTTTTTCTTCACTTCCTCCTCAATTAGATAAATTATGCTGCTTGTTGAAGTGTCACAATGTTAACTCATTTGCATCGATAGATAGATAGATAGATAGATAGATAGATAGATAGATAGATAGATAGATAGATAGATAGATAGATAGATAGATAGATAGATAGATAGATAGATAGATAGATAGATAGATAGATAGATAGATAGATAGATAGATAGATAGATAGATAGATAGATAGATAGATAGATAGATAGATAGATAGATAGATAGATAGATAGATAGATAGATAGATAGATAGATAGATAGATAGATAGATAGATAGATAGATAGATAGATAGATAGATAGATAGATAGATAGATAGATAGATAGATAGATAGATAGATAGATAGATAGATAGATAGATAGATAGATAGATAGATAGATAGATAGATAGATAGATAGATAGATAGATAGATAGATAGATAGATAGATAGATAGATAGATAGATAGATAGATAGATAGATAGATAGATAGATAGATAGATAGATAGATAGATAGATAGATAGATAGATCACTTTAGAGACTTAGACTTCCTTTATTGTCATTGCACAAAAACACAAGGTGAATCTTGACAACGAAATGTTGATTACTTGGCTACCAGTGTAACAAAGCTAAGACATTATTCCTGCGTTAATATTGAATTAACATTCTGTTAATTGTGCTTAAATATCTAATGGTATTCAATTACATTCTTTAACGAATGAAATAAAAAAAAAATGCTATTCATAAGAAAGAGATTAAGGGAAAAAAAACTTTGTATTTTCTGTTATTTTTTATTTTTTGCATCAGGAGTCCTCACACTGATATGACGTTTTTTACTGATGGGAAATGAGGTAGCCTACCTGTATGCATGTAAAGATACAGTGCATTGGTTTGAAATAGACCAACTGTCATCTACCCCCCACCCCGCCTCTCTCCCTCATGTTTACCCACATTTCTAATCAATGCGTGGCGTCATCAGGGGGGGACCATCCTGAAGATTGGCCTGTTAAAAATGACAGCTCTGTAGAAGGGGAGAGAGAAAGAGAGAGAGGGTAAATGGTGATCCCTCCCAGAGCTCCGGCTCCGCACTCTGCAGCGCTCCTTTCTGAGGGTCACACCGGATTGATTCTAGCCTCCAAGAAACACTCTCATCCCCACCATCCGCCTCCCAAGCTGAGAACATCCACCTCCTCACATTCCTGGCTCCTCTCGCTCTCCCGCGAAGTCGAGGCTTTTCAAATCCGGTGATGGAAAGCAGAGAGGAGGTGGCGGTGAGGTCGGCGGATGGAGCCACCGGAATCTCCACGCGAGAACCGCAGGGGAAACCGGTCCATAGGAGCTGCCTGAGCCCAGGCACTGCGCCCTACTCCCGGGAGAGGACTACGGAGCTGGTGCCGGAGGAGAGCGCAAAAAGGAGCATGTGTGCCGACGCCAGATCGCTCCCCGTATCCTCCTCCGGGGTAAGGCATCACAAAGACGGCAGCAGCTCGGACAACGAGTCGGACTTCTATGAGGAAATCGATGTGAGCTGCACGCCTGAGAGCATGGACTACCCAATGGTTAATGGTAGGACGCTGTTTTCCAGTGTGCGTTTGCATGCAAGCAATTTTAAATAGGCTATCCCAATGATCGATCCCTGCATTTGGTTATAAAGATTAAATGTATCACCACTAAATAAAATCGAAAATGGCTAATCCTGTTCTAAAATTAGAACAATAACATCTACTGCAGCTGTTCTGTCAAGTGGCTGAAAATGCTGCGGTGACACCCACAATCCAACCAAAAATTCTCATCACTGACTTTGGCAGCAACATTTCCTGTGTGTTTTCTTTTACTATAACAGGGCAGAAAATATAGTTTTCTGTAGCCTGAACCACAGGAAATAAACCTTTGCAGGATATAATACTGGAATTATTATGAATCATTTTTATAATGATTTTCTTTTCAATGTGCAAAACCTGAGCATCATATATTGGAACTAGGCCTGCAAACACTAATAATACATTTAGAAGTGCATGAGATTTTTTCACCACATTGATATCAAGGTATTGTTAACTATGTGTTGTTTGCATAAAATGTGAATGGAGTAACCTAAGCCATGTTACAGATGTATGTCAGACAGGCCCTGTAATAGTGGAGCTGATTTACATTTTCAAATGTATCTATGCTATGATAGCGAAATGACCTTTGAAATATGGCTAAATAATAACTGCACCTGTGCTTATATCATTTTATTGCCTTTTAAAAATGATATATTATTGTGCATGTTGGTTCAGGTCGAAATGTAGATTCCCCTGGTCATTCTCCGGGTGAGACCGGTGCAGATCCGAGTAAGACAGTCCAGGGTCAGGGCTCTCTGGCCTATGGAGCGGACCAGATCCGCCGGTATCGAACAGCGTTCACCCGGGAGCAAATCGCTCGTCTGGAGAAGGAGTTCTACCGGGAAAACTACGTGTCCAGGCCAAGAAGATGCGAACTGGCGGCTGCACTAAATCTACCCGAAACCACCATTAAAGTAAGATTTTTATTAGTAGAAATGTCAACATGTTTGGCTTAATTCACAAAAAAGAGAGAATCACGCTTCAGATGCACAAAGGGGGGCATATTTAAGAGTTGCATGACGTGATTTTGAAAAACATTTTCCATTTTTCCCAATCTATTGGAAGAAATTAGTTAATTGGAAGTTGGGCCTGTGTGCGTAAAAGCGGAAGCACTGTACGATCCAGCTTTTGTTGTTGTTGGTCAGAGGGAGGGCTGTGGTTAATATTTGACCCAATGTGTCTCTGTTGCAGGTGTGGTTCCAGAACCGCAGAATGAAAGACAAACGCCAGCGCTTGGCCATGACGTGGCCTCACCCCGCCGATCCGGCCTTCTACACCTACATGATGAGCCACGCTGCGGCAACGGGGAACCTACACTACCCCTTCCCTTCGCACCTGCCTCTGCCCTACTACTCACCTCTGAGCGTCGGTGTTGGAGGCAACCCAGCCCCCGGTGCCACGCCCTTTTCAACCCCGCTGAGATCCCTTGACAGTTTCCGAATGTTGTCTCACCCCTACCAGAGGCCAGAGCTTCTATGCTCCTTCAGGCACCCTTCCTTATACCCATCAGGACCGACCCATGGTCTCGGCCCGGGTGGGAGTCCCTGTTCCTGCCTGGCTTGCCACACAAGTCAGTCCAATGGGATCGCCAGCAGGCCAGCCGCCTCAGACTTTCCCTGCACTCCCACGAGCAGGACGGACGCTTTTGTCACTTTTACGCCATCAATTCTCAGCAAAACTTCACCTGTGACATTAGACCAAAGGGAAAAGGTGCCTCTGACCAGATGAAACCAAACAAAGTAAATCTGTCTGCGTTATCGGAGCAGGACTAAAACAGCATGAAGAAATCGGTGAACAAGCAGGCGCACAACGGATCTACCCTAATTAGAATATCATCCCCTTTCATAGCCAGGACAGAAAAATAAAAATAAAAAAAAGAAAGAAGGGATTTCCAGAAGATCACTTTAATGGTCCCATTGAAATCTTATATCACTGTTATTGCTTGTCTCCAAAACAGTCTACCTGTAGGCCTATTGTAAGTTACGCAAGACTGATGCGTTCCATCTCTCTTTTTTAACTAGGGGTTTTTTTTCCTATAAAGCAGACTATAGCCATCTCATTAGAAGCAACCCTCAACATCGGGGTCCTGGTGGAGGCAGCGGCGTCGGTGGCACGGGCCGAAATGTGCACATGCAAGTAAAATTAGTAAGTGATGTATATGTAAGAGTCGTTGAATTAATGGCAATACTAGCAGAAAGGGATCGTTGCTGCCAAAAGGTATAACAAGGCGCCGAGGGATCGGATTACTGAACAGCGCTTAGGCTACTGCTTGGTGCAGGAGATGGATCGGGGAGGGAGGGGGACCCAGAGGAGGATGGAGAAGGGACAATCACAATGAGGAGAAAATAGTAAGACACCAAGCACTCTTCCTTTTTTTGCATTCCTCCCTTGATAATATGACGCACCGATTTTATATCCGATCAAATGAAATCAAGTCATAGATTTTTTTTATGTCTACGCTTAAGCAGAAAATCGACCTGTGGTTGGAAAATAAAGTCCTTTTGACAAGACATATATTTATCTTTCATCGGTTTTCAGAATTGAAAGCAAAAATGTGTCTACTTAAGGACATAACCTGTTTGTAAAAGGTGAATCGACCACATAGAATTGGCTAAACTTTTCTGACACCCAATGTTGTTATTTGAGTTAAAATTAGATATCTCAAAATTACAATTGTGCGACTTTTTTCTTTATTATTTTTAATAAACGCAATAACTGACCGACCCTAAATGACTTTACAAAAGAAGGTTATAAAAGTCCAGTGTTTGTTTTGGGTAGCTCTATATTTTGTTGTGTTCTCTTTATTCGTTTTGTGTTGTTATTATTATTATTATTGTTATTATTATTTGTGCTTATTTGTTCATGATTTTCAGACTGTAATATCTGATTTGTAATAAATTATATCAATGTGTCATTTTTAAAGCCTAAAATTCTTCAATAAGCCTGCATTATTTCCATTTCAGACACTTTTTTTTCGTTCCTTTTTAACTCAGGACAAATTCCCATGATTTCTTCTTTGGACACTATTTTAGCTCTCAAGTGATCGCTGTCAAAACACCCCACCGTGGCCCCCAGACACCCTCCACTATATCTCCTGACGGGACTGAGAGATTGACCGTGACAGCTAAGTAGTCCCCGGGCTCCGTTAACGCCACTCATATTTTCTCTTGAACCACTTAATAGAAACAGAATTAGTTGTCTGGGTATTGGAGAGAGAGAGACGAAGAAGCATCGATCTTTTAAGGAAGAACGCAAACAATCACGGTGATCTTAATTGGCTGCAGGGATGAGCAAATGAAGGCGGTTTTCATGGGATTGAGGGAAAACACGAGGCCCGCAGAGATTGCGCGCAGATTTGGAAGCTTTAAAAATGCATTTGATATCACAGATTAGTCCTTATTTTCAATTAGTATTTTGTATTGAAATTGGACATTGTGATATTGGATGACTGCGTAACTGCAGCAAAAATAAACAATAAAACCAATTACCATTTCAACTATTTTCACTTGTTCTTTGCACTTGAACGGATACATCTAAGGGGTAGGATGTAGATGTTAAATGTGCCTTTAAAAATACATTTTATTTAATTTTTTTTTATCGTGATGTTGTCATTTAGATTTTCACTTTTAATTTGAAAGGGCCTTGATGATTCGGGAACCTGAAAAAAAAAATAAATACAAGCAAATACTTTGCCAAGAGAAATACATATATCTGACTTGTTTGTAAGCTTGATAATTAGTCAGCAGTTTCATAGAGCAATAATGTGACTCCAGCAGAGACAGCTATTATAAACTGCAAACTATATTATTCTTTTTTTTAGAATTACCTATTAAATGCATTTGTAATTGCTTGCAATTCAAGTTACATTTGACTTTTCCTTTATTACTGAATAAATGTTTGTCTTTTAAATTGAAAACATTTTTGATTTCTTCAGTTTTGCTATTTAAAACCCCTTTAGGAGATATTTAAAACAGGCCGGTCTTCACAGCCACACATAAAAGGGTTTGAGACCTATGAATCTGTGGTATAACTCAAAAACACTTAGGTATGCAGTAGCTTAGTTAAATTATACCAGGCTATGTGAATTATTATTTTGCATTAAGCTTTAAAATAATACAAAATGTGAAATAGTCAGCCATCATGGAACCATTGAGATGTGTTGTCATTTTAATCATCATACAAGTAAATCAATGTCACAATGTTACATTATTTAGAAAAAACATAAAAGCAAATTAAAGAAAAATATTATACCATAATGTCTACTTTCACATTACCTGACACTACTTAAGAGTTTTACCACATTTAGTTAAAGTAAATGTGCATTTGTTAAACTCTTCTATTTTGAACAACTATATATCATAATATGTCATTTTCCTATACAACAAATATTTTAACACATTCTAAAGCTTATGTTTACATTTGGCAAATTACTTTTGTTGTTTGTCCATGGACATAAACAAATAATTTGTTAACATTTGTTGCAGAACTGAGTGCTTTTTACGCAACTCATAAGGGCTTGTCAGGTCTAATACTTTTATGTGTAGGCCTACACATATAAAAAACAATTATTATTGCTATTTTTTTTTTTTTTGTTAAATATTTAAATCGCTCTCTAACCTAACTGTAAAAGGATAGACGTAAGCCCTGAGACTCAGCATTAAAATAATTAACATATATAGTATATGTTGAATAAAAAGGAATATTAGTTTCTCCAAACCATTTCAGATGTAAATGGGAGTAAAATATTCCACCAAATATCATAAAACTGCTTTTCTTATCTCGCTTGTTGTAATGTTGTATTCTACAAAATAATAAACCCCCTGCACAGTGACCCACCCCCTACCCACTCCTCCTCACTCCCCCCCACCCTCTCTCTCCACTACACGCGTTTGATTGATGGCCTTATTAACTGGAGTCCTTGTAAGTGTGACCAAGCTGATTAAAATGCATATGTTTGGAATAATACAGCGTTTAAGCCTCCCGGGTCGGGCAGATTTATGTAAACTATCAGGCTGATACAGAAACAAGGGTCAAGCAGGAAAATAGCTTTCTTTTTTTTCTATTTCTTTTTTTTAAGCATGCATTAAAACAAAGATGAGAATCAGGCTGCTCTTTCAAATATCTTGTTTTGAACGGTTTGGGCCTCTTCCTCTTTTTTTTCTTTTTTTAGATCTGCAAAGCAGAGCCTGCCAAAATGACACATTAAAGTGAGGCAAATTACAACCACATTTACCCAGCCGCACATATAGATGCGAGCATATCCTCAGCGGCAGCATCAGTGCAGACAGTTAATTGCACGAGGATGACTGAGTTGGAAGATGGGCTTGTATAGATTGCGCGTAAAACAGCAATTACACCCGACTTATAAGATCCTATTAGCGAGGATTGGTGGAGGGTTCCCTCAGCTCCCACAACTAAAACACAAAGCGTTTTGATAGGGGCGGTGCAGTGCAGCTGTCCACTGAGCGGGGGGGGGGGGGGGGGGGGGGGGGGGGTGATCGGTGGCTGCTGCCGCTGCTGGTTAAATTGGATTACACCCTAATTTACAGAGCGCCGTCGTAGTGCAAAAAAAAAAAAAAACCTGGCGGAGGCGTGAACGGACCGATCGCAAAGTAATGATGATGAATGGGAGATTAATGCGCATACAAGCAAGACTATTTAAGCCTTCATCTGTTTAAACGGCCTTCCAATATCATTTGGAAACGGAGGTCACGTTAAATCAGTCTGGGTAGGGAGGGATGGGGACGTGAAAGTCATTTTTGTTGTTTGTTTTTTTTTTTGGAGGGGGGGTTTGGGGAATCTTTATCAGGAATTATTTACGGCGCACAGAAGACAGCCAAACGAATATAGAGAGGAAATGGTCCCCGGCTGCTGCGAGCTTCTGCGCTATTCACAATAACTTTATTAAAATGTGATATTTTATGTTTTACCTTAAGTAACTCCAGTGCTTTACATTGTTATGAATCATTTCCAGATTTTCACTATTAGTTCTTAAACAATTTACAAATCTTTTTCCTGATTCATTTTGTATTTCCAAAGTGCAATTCATTTTTGGTGATAATCGGTGTGACACCGTTAAATAAACTACATTCCTGAAGATACATTATTGGTTAAACAAGTTTCCTTGACTATTTTAAAGGAATGTTCAGAATTCTGATTGCAAAAAATTTAACTAAATAAGTCATTTTTTCATAAAATAGGTTGAGTTTGTCTTGAATTTAGGAGGTGAGACACTTTACCAGTGGGACAAGACAATTTACATTTAAAATAAGAAAAAAGCAATTACATTTTCTTATTCCAAGTGCATATTATCTAATTATTTTATTTTGAGAGTAAAAATGCTCATACCATTGGCAAATCATCTTATTTACCTTCTCAAATTAAGGGTAAATACACTTAATTTACTTATTTCTAGACTCTTTTTGCAGTGCAAGGATGTTTTTTTGTTTTTAACCTTAAAAAAATTCTAAATTTATTTTATCTACTTTAATATAAAGTCAGACCAAAAAAAAAAAGAATGAAAGCAGATGTTTATTTTACAAAAAAAAATCCTGAATGTGAAATAGTTGAATTCATGTACTTGAAAGAGGTTTATTTTAAAAATATGTTTTTCTCTATGCAGCAACAACTTCTGGACATGAATGACATTGCTATAAAAGAAAAACAACAACAATGCGGAGCCTATTTGAAAGGTGGACAAAAGACATGGGGCACAGCAAGTTTTAGAGATGCTCTGGTCCGATTTGACAAAAAATAATATACGTTTTCACCTAAACACAAGTCAAAATGAATGAACACAAATTATATCCATGAATCCACACAGTCAAACAAGGTGTTGGTTGCATGGTGATGTAGGGATGCTTTTCTCTATCAGGTAAGATAACTGTTAAGAGTTGATGTGAAGATTAATGGAGGTACGCTGCAAAAGACTAAGGTAGACGTTCCTCCTCCAGAAGGACAATTATTCTAAACATAGAGCCAGAGCAACAACAATATAAATCATGTGTCAGAGTTTATACCTAAATCTAAAACACATACTCATTATATGTAGAGTATTTTAGACCATATAGACATTTAATACCATAGATTAGTATAGATTAGTACATACATTGTAAAAGTGGGTAAATAACTCACAAAAGACATATGCTTGATCATTGATAATAGTTATATCAACCATAAATATTAAACTCCAAATTACAGATCAACATTTTGAGCCACAGGAAAAAAAAATTACTGAACAAAACTAGATTTTTATTTAAATACATTCAATTTTATACATATGTTTAAAGCAGAATGATATGTGTGTTCTAGACAGCCTGCTCGCTTAATTTTTTGCATCACCTTGTGACTGTTGATAAGGGACTATTTTATCACTTATAGGAGAACAATGCAAGATTTTTTTACTTCAAACTTGTCAGTCTCCACTCCTGATCACAATCACTTAAAATACTTTACACCTAATACTTATTTCTTAGAAATCTAGAAATTAGATCTGGAGATTTTAAGTTCACTTTGCCTGGTTTCTACAGGTCATCACATGATGCAAGATAATCTTCAATTTTGGTTTCATCTTCTGGACATTTATCTATCTGACTTCCTGACATTGCATGACATGATTTTCCCTAAGACAATTTTTAGCAGGTATCTATTTAGCGTAATAATCCTTAACAAAGGTAACCGTGGAGACAGATTGAAACATCAGTCAGAAGCACAAGGGAAGCCAAATTTTAAACTTCATTTATTTTTTTTGCAGAATCTTTCAGCGGTGGAATTGATGCTGTGCCTCAAATTATTGCCCTGTTGCATTCAAGGTTCCAACAAATAGTCAGGCATTCCTCCTTAGGATTTTATGAGGGAAAGCAGAAGTAATTAGCCTAGCAAACTAGCCCCAGAAGCCAGCAGTCAAAACCATTTTTCC